CCCAGCGGGACTTGCATAATGGCACTTGCACTCCACGTTCCTTGTATAATTGCCTCGTTTGCTTTCCCCGATGTTGGGAGATTCTAGTCCCAGGCTGTTCTGGTGTGTTCGCACCGCCCCCTTATTCATACTTACCGTGTGCTGCCGCCTACTGGACAATTCAGAGCATCGCTGCCGTAGCTGATTCTTGCTCTCTGCTGCCCCCTGTGGGAATGTTACAGCATCGCTGCCTTTCCCACGATGTTTTAATTGCTTCTGAAATCTATTGGGCACTATTCGGGATTTCTGACGGCTCATTTTCCACCTCAGTCTACTTCTGTTTAGTGTCGGTGTCACAGCACAACAGCCCGTTACTCCCTTTTTGCCCTCTGCTCCCCTCAAGTCTTCGTCTTCTTCCTGCTACGGTTTCCCTTTTTCCCATTTGTTAAATATTTTATCCCCTACTATCTGCTGCTTTCCTTTCACCACTAAACTCTGGTTTTCTCCAAAATTGTCTGTTTCCTCACATTTGGAATCTTGGATTTGTAACAATCCAATACGATTTTCTTCAGTAACTCTTAATTTGTATTCACATTTCTCTATATAATTTTTTCCTCCCAGTCGTGTTTGATGATAATTTGTCAGATTTTTGGAATTAGCTGTTGGAAGGGCTAAGTGTTTATAGGGTAGCAGGTTTAAAACTAATAAAAGAAAGTTCTTCTTCACACAGCGTGTAGTCAACCTGTGGAACTCCTTTCCAGAGGAGGCTGTGAAGGCTAGGACTATAATAGAGTTTAAAGAGAAGCTAGATAATTTCATGGAGGTTAGGTCCATAAAAGGCTATTAGCCAGGGGATAAAATGGTGTCCTTGGCCTGTGTTTGTCAGAGGCTGGAGAGGGATGGCAGGAGAGAAATCCCTTAATCATTGTCTTCGGTCAACCCTCTATGGGGCACCTGGTGCTGGCCACTGTCGGTAGACAGGATACTGGGCTAGATGGACCTTTGGTCTGACCCAGTACAGCCGTTCTTATGTTCTTATGTAGCTGCTGCTTTCCAATTCTTGACTCTCTTGTGCCCTCGATGGGCACTATTCAGTGTAGTGGCCCACTTCTCCTCTTTAGCACCCGCTATTAAGAGAAATGTTAGCATTAGTTGATTAGTTAGCATCAAGGTCCTAAGCTCTTCAGGGCTCTTTCTTCATCCCCCAGACATGGATCTGCAGCTTCGCCTTCCTTTCCACTTCCCTCCGCTGGTCATTTGGCAGCAGAACTCTTTGTGTCTCCCCGCTCTGTGTCAGACACTGTACATTGGGCAGAACACGCACTCCCATCCCGTTCCTACTTTCCCCCCTCCCCTTAGACAAAATAATCATTTCTGCTAGGTGGGAGCGGCAATGGAATCCAGCCATTGGGAGATAAATCAGAGCTGGCAGAATGATCGCAACGTGGGTGACTCTATCAGCAGGTACAACAGCAGCAGCTCTGAGAGTTTTCCCCCAGTCCTGTGCCGGGGTCTGTTCAGACTGAACCTACCGTGAGCAGGCAGAGCTCTTAGAGGGGTCTATGGGAACTCTGCACTGTACTTTCCTTCCCAACGGATTTGGGTAACTAATTGTATGTTATTGGATTGTAGGGTGAACACACAAAGTGTTGTTGCAACCACTTTTCTATGTTTGCTACAAAACTTGTACAGAGTGGGCCAAGTAAGATGGCTCTGAAAAGCTGATGATTTGCTGGTTTGGTTTATACTGATCGTTTTCATGTATCATTTGTGTGTGCGAAGTTATGAGTATTGGCTCCGTGCTTGTATTTCACAGGTTTGCATATGGGACACTTCAACAGGAGGCTTGGCCTGCCTATTGCGGAAGGGTGGCCAGTCAAGTGAATAGCAGCACTTGCCTGACAATGTACCTCAAGTGACGCCAATCCACATGTGAGGAATTTTGCTGTAAAGGTTCAGACCGGCATGTAACTTGTTGCCGCTCTATAAAAAGGACTTCATCATGCCTGGATATGAGACTTGTTCATGTGACAAACCCCATTTTGGGAGGTACCTTTGCACAGTGAAAACAATGGGATTCCCTCCACCTAAGCAAGGGGATAAAAAAGGGTACTAGAGGTTCCTCCATTTTATCTTCATTCCAGATCATCCCTTCTGAAGCAACTTTGCTATTAACTGAGCCTGAAAGAACTCATGACCCATCCTAACAAAGGATGTGTTCCAGAGACTTGTATAACAGCAGATGAATTCACTAATCTGCAAACCAGCCTTCCCCAAGAACTTCGCATTGGTGTATATAACTTCTTTCTTTCTTTCTTTCTTTCTTTCTTTCTTTCTTTCTTTCTTTCTTTCTTTCTTTCTTTCTTTCTTTCTTTCTTTCTTTCTTTCTTTCTTTCTATTGTACATTCTAAAGGATTGGCCAAGCGTACTCTTTGGGATAATACCTGAGGTATAAATTGACCTGGGAATGTGGCTGACCATTTAAGACTTGGAGAAGTAGTTCAGAGTGGGTGAGATTGATTTCCTTGTCCTCTCATCTCATGTTGGTTGTTGCACAGGAGAAGCAGGAGCCTCTAAGGGGACTGCTAGTGTGACTTCTTGCTGGCCAGAGTGGCTGCTGAGGTGTTTTATCCCTTGGTTTGATGCCTTAGAGAGGAGGACCCTTTGCTTGGGCAAGAAGCCCAATTTAAGCACCCTAATGTGACCCTCTCAGCAGTGCCCCCAGTTAGTGCTACATTGCACTAACTCCACTAGGCCTCTTGGGAAATCCCTCCTGCAGAGTTGGAGCCCTAAAGTTCTCACTGGTGCCCATCTCCCCTGCCTCTGACTGAGCCATGATGTGCTCCCTCTGGGTGACCCAGCATGGTTGTGTTTGCATCTTAGAAGTTCTGCCCCTGCTAAGTGGTAGGCACTTCCTCTGACCATCCATTATCTCAAAGCCTGAGGAGATGTCCCAGCATGGAAAGGAGCTCTTTGAGGCACATGGGACTGGTTGGACGCTGTGCCCAGAGAACTAGCCTCTTGTTACAGTCAGGTTTGAGGACACTGAGGCTATGTCTACACTCGTGGCTTCTTGCACAAGTACTATCATTCTCGTGCAAGAATCCACAGAGGGTCCACACTGCCTGCCTGCTCTTGCACAAGGAAATGTACTGTACAGAGCGGTAAAAGAGGGCTTAAGGGTGAAAGCCCTCTTGCACAGGAGCTCTTGAGCAAGAGGGCAGTGTCGACACTGGGCAGGGATTTCTTGTATAAGAAAGCCCTATGGCTAAAATGGTCATGAGCGCTTTCTTGCTCAAGAGAGCATCCACACTGCCATGGATACTCTTGCGCAAAAGGCAAGCTTGCACATGACAGTGGGGACATTTTCTTGCACAAGACTTCTTGCACAAGAAGCCTTGCGCAAGATGTTCTTGTGCAAGAAGCAGTGAGTGTAGACATAGACTTAGGCTATGTCTAACTGTGCTGGTTTTGCTCAAGAAATATAAAAATAAGGCTAAGCATGGATTGCAGAGCCTTATTTGCTTAATTAATGAGTAGCTACTTTTTGCACAAGAAGGAGCTAAAAAATGCAGAAGAACGGCTCTTGCACAACAGGGGTTTTTGTGCAAGGAGCCGTGTGGAGGGCTCCTTCGTGTGCAAAAGCTTCTTGCACAAAAAGCGGCGGCTTATTAATTATGCAAATGAGGTTCAGCAATATTCCATGCTCAGCCTCATTTGCATATTTCTTGCACAAAACCAGTGCAGTATAGATGTAGTCTTATTGGAACGGGGCCCTCCCCTGGAATGCTCTATGCAGGGGCAGCAACACAGCATGTGGTGTCCTGCAGGGCCACTGGCTGGGTCCTTTCTCAGGGACTATCTCAGCCCCACTGCAGGGCAGGAAGCATGTCTAGAGTGACCTAGGCAAACTGGAGCATTGGGCCAAAAGAAATCTGATTAGATTCAACAAGGAGAAATGTAGAGTCCTGCACATGGGACAGAAGAATCCCAAACACTGTTACAGGCTGGGCAGCAACTGGCTAAGCAGCAGATGTGCAGAAAAGGGCCTGGAGATTACATTGGGTGAGAAGCAGGATGAGCCCACAGCGTGCCAGTGTAGCCAAGAAGGCTAATGGCATATTATGGTGCATTAAGAGGAGTGTTTCCAGCAGATCTAGAGAAGTGATTATTCTCCTTTATTCAGCACAGGTGAGGCCACATTTGGAGTATTGTGTACGCGCGGCCCCCCCCCCCCCCCCCCCCCCCCCGCCAATACAGAAGAGATGTGGATGCATTGGAGAAAGTACAGCGGAGGGCAACAAAAATTATTTATCTGCACCTCCCCAGGTACGTGGGCGGGGAGGGGGGGAGAGGGGGTCAAAACTCTCCGTGTCTGCAGATCGCCATTCCCAGCACATGGGAGCTGTCAGCATCTGTACTTGTGAAGGTGCAGGTAAATATAGTGGCAGTGGCCCACTGAGGGCTAGCCCTGGTGAACCACTGTCATTTTATAGCCCACCCCTGCATTAGGGACATAGGAAATGACCGGGAGAAAGAAACCTGATACCATCACCCACTGTGTTTTATTTGCATTAGGAATTTGTTGTCATTTGATCACCAGATTTTATTTTGCAACACAGAGAAACCATGAACCCCAGGGATGCCTGCAGGGAATCACTTTGCTATTGAGGGCAGTTTGGGCCTTACACAACATGACAGCTCTGTGCATTAATCAGATGCAGTTAATACACCTCTCCTAGGCGGAAGGTTTATCCAAAACCACAGAGGAAAATGCCAATACCTTCTCTGTGTCAGTGCTGCCCTGCTGGACGACAGTGGTTATAGATGTCCACAATTTAAAATTCCTGTATGATACATGGACACTGAGCATGGACAAAAATTCTCCCTCAGGGGCACCATGGAGATGGTGTACTTTTTTTGCACATCAGCCTCACATATTCAATGGGAGTTTTCAACTTAATGTCAGTGGGGACTGATTGTCTAGCTCGCCCAGGCAACTTTGAAACCTCAGTCACAATCTAGGAGTCTCTGCGTGTTTTTGTGAGAGCCACATATTGACTGATGGCTTTGCTTAGGGCTTCCCTGACCTCTCTGTTTCTCAGGCTGTAGATGAGGGGATTCACCAGGGGGGTCAGGACCGTGTAGCAAAGCGACAGCACTTTATTTAAGACTCTCAGATTAGTGAGTGTCGGTAGAATGACGACACTCATCAGGGTCCCATAGAAAAGGGTCACCACGATGAGGTGGGAGGAGCAGGTGGAAAAGGCCTTTTGCCTCCCGGTGGTGGATGGGATTCGCAGGATGGTGGCGATGATGCAGATGTAGGATGTCAGGGTCAGCAGAAAAGGAGGCAGGGTGAATAGGAAGGAGAAGATGAAATCCAATATAACTATCAAGTGTGTGTCCCTGCAGGAGAGTTTGATCAATGGGATGGGGTCACAATAGAAATGGTCGATTTCATTGAGGCCACAGAATGCTGACTGGGACATGAAGTACATAAAGACGGCAATAGCCAAGCACCCATTTATCCATGTACCTGCAGCCAATTGGAGGGAAAACCTGGTGTTCATCAGTGCCGAATAGTGCAGGGATCACGGCGAGCAGGTAGCATTCCGTAGAAGCCATGGCGCCAAAGAAGAACAATTGTGTGAGGCAGCCACTGACCGAGATGGCTCTGTCCCCAGTCAGGAGCCCGGCCAGCAGCCTGGGCAGGATGGTGGAGCTGTAGCAAGTCTCCAAACAGGACAAGTTCCCCAGGAAGAAGTACATGGGGCTATGGAGGTGCTGGTCAGCCACAATTAGAGTAACAATGAGGCTGTTCCCAGCCACGGTTGCCAGGTAGATCACTAGGAAGAGCAGGAAGAGAAGAATCTGCAGGTCCCGGAGCTCCCTAAATCCTAGGAGGATGAATTCCGTGATGACAGTTTGATTTCCCCAGTCTGTGTCTGCCATGGGTCGAGTCTAGGAACAAGAAATCCAACGGTGCAATGTAAGATCGTAGAGAGAAAAGATGATCAAGTGTCATGGATTCCTTCCATACATTTTCAGAGCTGCCCCCTGCTTCTCTTTCATGGCTACCCGAGCTGCCCCCTGCTTCTCTTCCATGGCTTCCCCTGAAATGTTAAGGTGAAATGCAGACATCAGCGCAAAGTGCCACAAGCCTCAGTCTGAGAACAGAACTTTGGTTTCCCCGCAGACTCGCCCTCTGAAACATCAGAACAACTATGATAACAACAATCGATTCCTCTGGTCGCCCAATCGGGCAGATCAGACTCTGATTGATCTTCTCTCTTATCCCAATTGCTGCCTTCCTGGTACTAAACAAAGACACTTCAAAGCATTTTCCACTCATGGCCATTTCCACAATCATGTGTCTTAGCAGGAATTCAAAATCAATACATGCGTCAACTCAAATCTTGGACTCAGATTTTGAATGCAGTCTAATATCCTTGGGCACTAATCCATTAGAATTTATGGAACGTCCTCTTACACTAGATGTTGGTACATGGGTCATTTCAGGGTGCTATAGGGAAAGGAATAATTATGTTTTCCTTCACAGGAAATGAGATTAGGTCAATACTTATGAAAGGGGATCAATTCCCCCTTAAAAAGCAACCTGTGGTACCTTAGAGACTGAGCAAAATATAGAGAATCATGAACTTTCGTGGGTTAGCCCTTCCTCAGATGAGTTGGAGTGGAAATAACAGATACCAAGGGAGATATATAACAACAGCAGAAGTACATGTCAGTTGTAAGGCCCATGTTAACGAGGCTAATTAAGTGGGCTGGATGTGTCCCACACATAGCTTTTGATGTCTCTCTTCAGGATGGATTTTAGGAAAGGGCAAAACCAGAGTACTGGGCACCCGGACTGAGTGTGACTCTCGCACCGTGTCACAGCTGAGGGCTGATAATACAGGAATGAGACGGGCACTGGGGAAGAAAGATGCCTCCCTTGGACTCATAAGCAGCCTGACGTGGTAGCCTGTGGTCTGGGCTAGTAATGTTTTATCACCACCCCCTTACTCCCTCATACAAACTCTCACTGAGCCAAATTCCCTATTGAGGCCAGTTTGCCGTAGCTCCTTTGGGGTCACTGGGCCACGTTCCCATCTGAGGACCTTTTCTAGACACGTACCTCAGTTTCCCCATTGTGAAACAGTGCGGCTAAGCCCAACTTAGGACTGCTGTGTGAAGGGAGACAGCAACTGCTATTATGCGAATGTTGTATGCAGAGCTGCAGCTTGTTGGTCTAGGATCCGAGAGCTGGTTAAGGAAACAGAGCTGAGGAAGAACTTTGTGTGCCTCAGAACCTTGCCTCTCTTACTACCAGAAGTCGGTCCCTAAAAGCTCTCACATCTCCCACCTTGTCTGGCCCATGTTCCCAAAGCATAGCTGTGCCCTGTCTGGAAGGTGCTCTAGAAATGCAGCCGGGAAGGTGGAGCTGACCTGTGATCACGGGGAACATGTGAAGCAATAAGCTCTTAGGTCTGTTTGGCCTCCAGGACCCAGGTTTCACCGCGGATGTTCTTCTCTCTCCTTTCTGCAGACACTGGAATTTCTCAGCGAAGAGACCTGCGCACCCCAGAGTGGAAGAGCTGCTGCCGTGATGTGTCTGAGAACAGGCTCTTCCCCCTGTTTGCGCAGCGCAGGCGTCTCCTCCTACTTCTACCCTTCTCTGGGGCAGGCTGCGTCTCCCTCGAGTGCCCCTCCGCGGAAGCTGAGCCTGGGGAGTTAGCGCTGGGTTCTCTGTGCAGACAGAGCAAACACCTGTCTGATGCAACCGACCTCCTCGATGAAGTCATCGCTCTGCGCAGCTGGCATGTCCCACAGCGCCCGCCGAACGAGGCTGAGCATTTTTCCCAATGCCACACACGGGAAACCTCGTAAAATTGCTCTAATTCCAGTGAGTTCAGCAGCAACCAATCAGAGCTCTGCAGCAGATTCACAATAGCATTAAATACACTCAGCGCCCCCTGCCCCATTAAAAGGCCCCCTGCTCTGTCATCTGTCGGTTTGGCTTAGAAATGTGCGTCTGTCTCTCTGTCCGTCTGTGAGGCGATTTGTTCACGAACTCCTCCTAACCCAGGGGTGGGCAATACAATGGTGGCAGTTCACCAGTGTTAGCCCCTGGTGGGTCACTATTGCTATATTTGCCTGTGCCTCTGCAGGTGCAGGGAATTGGAGCTTCCGTTTGCCACAGATCACCATCTTACGCTGATGTG